CGAACGCTAAATGTCACTCGATAGAATCTGGCCGGTGGAGAGGATCGTCGAAAAAAGGGAGGAAGGGGAAATGGAAGAATTAGGAAAGGTGTTTGGGTTTATTAATCAATTCGAATTATTTTGGGGAACGAAGATTACAATAGTGGAGATCGATGAGTGGGGGAAGAATAGGGAAACGAAAAGGAAGAATTATAACTTTGAATATTTGTAGAAAAAGGGAAGAAAAGGAGAACGGAAGAATTGTGGGAAAAAGTATTTGGATTTTAGTTAATCCTTTGAGTAAAGAAAGGATAAGAGAAAAAGATGAATGAAAGAATAGTTATTTTAAATATTTTGAATATTTTAATAGGACGAAAAAATTAAAAATTATTCGATGGAATATTTAATTGTAATTGTGTGAAATCCTCTCGCAATCTTTTATTAATATTATTCTCAAAAATGAAATTCGAAAGTGTACAAGAGGTAGAATAGATTGGTAGATCTACATGTATCTAGGTTACAACAGAGCTTAAGATCATTTCGATATTATACGTAATCGTAATTTAAACGCAAGCGGTGGTCTCCTCGTATTGTTTGCACGTGATTGCTACAGACGATGGACGATAATTAACATATTCATAGCGAAGGGTAATGCGAACAGGATAAACAAACGAGAGAATAAAAGCAGAAAAGCCCATTATATAAGGCACGGTATCGCGGAGATCGGCAAATAAGTCCATTACTTATTAAGCGTTAACAGGTTTCCAGAGAGGGAATCAAGGTAAGAACACGACCGGCTATCAACGGGATCGTCGTTCACCTATGCAACTCGCAATGATACGTATACGATTGCATAAGCGGCAACGAGAAAGGATCAACGAAGAGGGGGTGAGACAAAACATTCGATGATTCAACGTTGTCATAACGTAAACAGATAACTTTCCAAAATGAAATCAAACACGTATACTTCTTCAAACGCTTTCAATCGCATAAAATAGATTTCATAATACAATTACAAACAATACAATTGACAATATATTTTCCATTATTGTGTATTTTAAAAATAAATAAATTGTAAAATGAAGATTATCCTTTTCAAACGTACTATTAACAATCTATTTTAAAATCGTTAAATTTCATTTATTAAACTAACTTATCCTACACAGCCTAACAATTTCATATCACGATCCACAAAATTTCTAACCTCCCCCAAAAAAAAATAAATCTACAATCTCAAACCACCTACTTTCATTAAAGATCGAAGCAAGCAACAAACATAATGCATAAAACAAACGGTGGATACGATAATAATTAAAAGACTGAATATTTAAATCACGAAGATGGTATCTTCTATATAAATCGATTTCCATTAATTTCCCCTTTGCTTTCGTTCGAATAAGGAAGACGTTGGTAAATCACAGGCGCGAGTCGCGTGGAGCGGAAATTCGGCGGATTGGCGCGTGAAAATTGAACGGTTCGCCGCGCGCATCGATCGAGCGAGCGATAATCGAGGCGAGTGGAGGAGAGCCGCGCCGATATGCGGGTCCATCCCTCTCTCCAGAGACGCGTAAAGGTCAGCCTCGGCGTAAAGGCCTCCGTAGACGTTCCACATTACCGTGCCCGTTGCCATTTCTGGCAAATAGATCCGCGGTTCTTCTTCTTCGTCCGCTCCTCGGCCTCCCGCGAGTCGACCACCTCGGACGACGATCGAGAAACTCGACGGGCGAGCGGAGGCCACGGGGAGTGGAGATTGGGTTCGCGTTCTCTCTGATCGATTGATACGGTTTGATTGATTCCATGGAGGATTCGAGGGGAAATTTGTAGAGTGGATAATTTGTTTTGTGAAGTCGATGCAGTGTTGGCAATGTACTATCGTAAGTATCTATGTACTATTATACGAACGTACGAGGAGAAGTAGAAATTAAATACGGGAACTCGTATTCGGTTGTATTACGAAAGTAATTGAAATGGTAAGATAAGAGATGTAAGTGATTGAGAATCAATACAATGTTATACTCAGGTAAGAGTATATAAAGACTTTCGCGTGCTTTTTCGATATAATGTACGGCATAATTGTAATAATAATCTTCTAATAAAAGCAAATGATCTTTAGATATATATATATANGAAAATTATCACGAAAAGTTATCACGAAATTTCTAAAAATTTCATTCCAGAAAAATAAAATTTCTCTCCAGGAAAATGAATCTCTAAATTATAATAATTTAATTAAAGTAGAAGATTTGAACTCACTTCGATAAATTCAAGGCCAAACGTATGCAAGATGGTCTCGATTCACGTATCGGCATTCCACGGGATGACGCGGCTAATGACAGCCAGCCCAGTCCGAGTTACACGCCGTAATGTGTCTATTTCTCAAGTCCTCCATGATGAGGCTGCCGCGTACGGCCTTCCGGCACTCGAGAGCCTCGTGTC